TAACTGTTCCCTCGCAAATCGCCAATACAAATTAACAAAATACAGACCACAATACGCCATTTATACATGTTGCAAAAAAAAACTTTCAATTCTTCCCAATTACAACAACACATAATGTGTAATCCAACACCCAAAAAATTCAATTATTCTTTAAACCCATCTTTTTACTCTAACGAAAAACCAAAAATAATATTCCCAATCGATTAATCCTCCAAAACCCTAATACCCATAATCCAACAATAACATACAATTTACCTATATTTCGAATAAATTGGAAGCCCTAATTTTAATTCTAATTCTAACCCTAATTTCGAAAAACCTAAGCCCAACAACAACCAACCGATACACAATTGACAATTTAGAACAAAATTCTAATCTCCAATTCAACATACACACATAATCGATAAACAATTAACAATCCACAATCTTCAAACACCACCACATTCAAATATACTATAACAATTACTAATTTTCAAACAACTCCAAACAATGTCAAAAGTTGAGATAAGCCAATATACTTCGTGCGAATGACTTAACCGGAAATGAGGTTCGTGTTGTTGTTGTCGATACATGTCGGAGTGGCGATTGGATCAAGTTTTTTTTTTTTTTTTTTTTTTTTTTTTTTTTTTTTTAAGCTCTCGCAATTTTTTCTGAAGAAACTGATGAAGTCGCGCAAATGAAATGGGGAAGAAGAGAAGATTTGTTGTTATATTTAATTGTAAAATGGATTTAGTAAATACGTTTTAAACCTATTTAATTGTAAAACGTATTTATTAAATACATTTTTAATTATTTTTTTACAAAATTATTTCATTTAAAAACGTATAATAATTATACGTTTTTTAATATTTTTTTAGTTAACTAAAAATGCAATTATATTTTTTTGTGTGATCCATCCTCGACGAGCTCAAACGCCGGCTAACTGGCTGTTTTTGAGATGCCTCGAGTGGCAAGAGATGACCAAAGGTCCAATCTTTCGTTGAAGTCCCGGGAAAGTCAAGGTTGTTGGTCTTTCCAGTGATCAGAAGACGAGGGACGAAGACGTGAGAAAGGATAGCTAAGGTTGAGATATCCGAGGAAGAAGCTGAGATGTGCGTGGCTGAGTACTGCAATGAGAATGGAAATTGGGATTTAACCAGACTTCAAGATTGTTTACCAGATAAGCGTGTGGCTAAATTTAAATTTTATGAACTAAAAATGTATTTAATAAATCCGTTTTTCAAAACCCCAAAAATCAATCAATTTAGAGTTTTATAAAATGGATTTATTAAATCCGTTTTTTAGAACTCCAAAATCAATCAATTTAGGGTTTTATAAAACGGATTTAATAAATCTGTTTTTCAAAACCCAAAATTAATTGATTTTTGGAATTTTAAAAAACGGATTTATTAAATTTATTTTATAATTATTAATTTTTATTCAATTCCTCTCTTTTTAAAAGGAAACAAATTACTACTCGCTATCTTATAGCGTCGGTACAAAATTCATATTCTGCTCCACTTGTCACTCCCAAAAAAATAAAGTAATTCCAATCATTGAACTATGTTCTTATTTTCTTCTACTTTTATTCCAAAATAATATAAACAAAGTGATTTTTGTTATTTTGTCAACGGTTTAGTGGGTGGCTAGAATCCATGCCATGACAATTGAGATCCTCATGAGTCATGACCAGTCGGGGATATTGGGATTTTGTTCACAAATAATTTATAATATCAGTAATTGTTTTAGTAAAATAATAAAGGAGGATATAGTATGAAAATGTTTTAGTGATTTTGAGATGGATAATGCCCAGCGTGTTGGATTTGAAGAGCATAAATGTGTAGTAAATTTTAATAAAGTTCTATTTAAAATGTATTAATTAAATTGAAGAGGAAATTTAAATGGAAGAACGTGATGTAAAAAAAAAATGTAATGAGATTCATGTGGCATCTACTTGTAGCCTTACCTACTAAAGTTTTCCTATCCTGTAGAAATTAATGTTTGATGTCATCATCATATTAATATATAGTTAGCCATGTGTTAATGTATAGTGTAGACAGTCCAAATAAACTATTTTAAGATCAACGCGTAATTAAATATGTTCGGGTTATTTTTGAATGCTTTAGAGCATGCTGGATACAAATTCAATCCAAAAAATTCAATTATTTTTAACTCAATTATTTTTTTAACTCAATTTTAACCTAACCCCACTATCATCAATATTATCAATATAATTAAATAATATCAATCAATCATTCTTACACACCACATCAACCTTAATTAACTATTCATCCACTCACATAATTTTAATTAATCATCACATCACATCACATCACATCACATCTTCTCTCTCCTACTTTTATATCAATTTAATTTTTATTATTTTATTTTAAATATTATTTTAATACACCCACTAACAACTAACCATACTAACTTTTTCAAATTTAACCAACCCAAACTAAAAATCCAATCAAAACAAAAACTTTTTATATCCAAGCATGTTCAGTAATCCATCGGTATATTTTTTAGACTTTTTCAAGTGTAAGTAGCAAAATTTGGTATTTTATAATAATATCTGTCAGTTTTGTGCTTGGAGTCCTATATATCAATTTTCTTTAGTTATTTTGGATTTTAGTCATATTTATTAAAATTTGTAATTTTATAAACATTTGACTAACTTAAATCATAGATATTTTTAATAACTTAATAATTTTTATTTCTTATGAGATTTTCATATATAATATATCGAAGTAATTATCATATCATAATTTTCAACTTGATATTCATATTGCATATATAAAATGAAAAAAAAATATATCTAAAATAAATTATCTATCCATTATGATTACAAATAATAATTTTTTTACTCAATAATTAAAATAAATTTATTTATCAACGTTATTACTTGGTATTAGTTATAAAAGTTACTATCATCAGAGGCGCATCCAGAAGTTTTTTTTGGAAGGGACTAGTCTAAAATTGTTATTTGAAACAAATTATTTGCGAATGTATTTCGAATTGACTTGTGAAAACTCAAGCAACAAATCAAATTTGCTTATTAAATGAATCGAGCCCAGGCTCACATATTTGTTCGTTTATTTAATGAGTCAAGTCAAACCAACACATTTAGTAAATAAACACAAGTTTGATCATGAGGTATCCAACTCTACTCCAATAACACCTCTATCTAGAATGAATATACAATATTTAATAATATCACATTTTATATGCATATAAGGCATAAAGTTGCATCCTAAATTCGATAACATAAATTATAAAAATATTCCACAATAGACATAGCTGCTGAAGTTTGATATTTTAAATTTATGTTCTACATTATTTCAAATCACGACTCATCAACAATTGACTCTATACAAATAATTCTTGCAATCTTTTTCAAACCTCTATTTAAATTTATTTATTTTAAACTTTTCACATATTTCGTACATTAATTAATCTCTATATTATAAAAAAAAAACAATATTATATTTAAAGAGTAAAAATTACTTACAAAAATATGGTATAGTAAAAAATTCTTAGTACTTAGATCATTTTAATAACTAGTAACAATTATGAGGTATATGTATAAATTGAATATGCTTATAATATATATAGTATATACAGTACATGACTAAATTTTTGGCAAAATACCTAAAATTGTTGGCAAAATTTCTATATATAATAAAAAAAAATAAAAAGTTTGGGGGGGACAATAACCCCCTTATGAATGGGTTTTAATGATGTCGGGTTCATTTAAAATAAAATAATAATAAAACTTATTAAGAAGTCTTTAACATTTTTAAAGTATAATATTTAGTATGATTTTTTTTTTAAAAAAAAGTGTAAATTTTCTTAATCAAGTATAGTAATGCAATACTACTATGAATGAATATAAATGATGTGCAATGGGAATTGGATGATATTGTTGTGGTTGTATTTTTTAAAACTACAATTATTGGACCAGAACAAAATGATTTTGCAAGTTTAAAATACCTGGTACTGGTAATTATTTTTCACAAACCAATTTAAAAGGTAGCATCACCGGAGCCACATGCTAGTTCTTAGTTGGGATCTAATAATAACATATAAAATTTGGCACATAATAACATATAAAACTTAGCACAGTCATGTCCTTTTATGGTCAATTTTGATAGTAAATGTAGTGATTATACTTGTAACGGAACAAAAAAATTAGTGCACCTCTACCGATCCAAAAAGAAAAAAAAAGAAAAAAAAGTGCACCATTATCCAGAAAAAAAAAACATGTACACTATTGCATGATTCCTGCAAATACAATTACAATAATACAATATAATGAATGTTGTATATCCTTTATATTATAAATTTGTATATCGTGAATATTAATAGTATTAAAATATTCACTTGTAAATTGTCTCACATCGTTTATATAGGAAAAATATACCTAATTTATATAATTTATAATTTATGGTGAAGAAGATTTTAATAGTTGCTTTAAATAATTTTTTGTAAATAACTGACAATTAGTGGATCATACAACTATTTTGAAAATTTTATGTCAACATATTATTCTACAAATTCTCTCCTCTCAAAAAGTTCGTAGATTGAGTTTTTCAAAATTAACGTTTTGGGATCAAATTAAAAAATCAATTAAATAAGCTCTTTACCAAATAAGTTAATTAACATATTAGACATGTCAAATTTCTAAATGAGGTTCAATCGACTAATTTTATACCAATCCCCTAACATCTAAATAAGGCCATATACTTATATTGTTAAATGTTATTTTGTTCTTTACATTGTACATTAATTTGAGTATAAATATTAAAAACATCAGCATATGTCGAAATTAATTATTTTTTTCTTTTACGTCTATTTTCTTGAGGTTTTTATCTAAGAAGTTGCACAGATGAAATTGCAAAGAATAACAACACAAATTGTAGAATTGGACTAGCAAAATTCCCAAATTCATAAAAATACATATACCATTACACATATAATGTAAATAAATACATAAATATAAATAAAAAAATTCCGAACTAAAGAAAGTTGTCTATGGTTTTATTAGCTCAGCAATCTTAAAGAAAGTTGTGGCTTTCATTCTGCCTCTAAATAAAAATCACGAGCTGTCTATGGTTTTACCAATTTTCTTTTATTTTATGCAAAATCGATACCTAATACTCTCATCGCCATTTTCAAAAATCCCATCTGAAGAAAAAAAAAAGGGAAAAAAAGGAGAAAATTATTCTCCAGCTCGTTCTCTGTATTGATTCCTCCAAGCTTTATCCAGAATATATTCTCTGGGCTCATGCTAGATTCGATCACAATTCTCCTCCCCGGTTGAATTTGAGCATAATTATTCCCTCAAGATTTCATTTTTTGGCAATTGGGTCAAAGATCAGCTGCCGCGTGCTGGCAATCCGCACATGAAATTGAAATTAGGTTTTGGAATCGGAAAAAGCGAAGAGGAAAGTCAAAGGCTTTTTGGGGCATTGAATTTTTCGTTTGTTCTCTGGGAATGCTATATCTGAAGCAGCCTGTGGGGGCGGTTATGGGGTTAGGAGTTTCTGCTCGGGGTCGAATCGGTTTTGGATCGCGGGTGGGCGCGAGTGCGGTTTGATTCCCGAGCTCGGAGGCTCGGGAGTCGTGGAGGCAAGCGAAAATGGCGGACGTGTTGGGAGGTGTACAGGCGGAGCAGCAGGGAGTACAACCTGGCTCGGAGGTTTCTGCTCATCCTCAGGAAGGATGTATGCAGAAGTTCAGGCTCTATGAGACTCGATCGGTAATTTTATTTTATTTTTTCTTTCCAGTTGATCGTTGTTACTTGTTAGCTTGTTAACCAGTTTAAGATGTGATTTTTCTCGGTCCAGTTGGAAATATAAATGTTCAGATTAACCTGAATCAGTAGTATGTTTCCTATACTTTGGCGATTGCTTGCTTTATTAGTCAATGCACACATGCTGTAGAATGTCCTAGATTGATGCAGTATTTAGGTTTCCAATCTCTGCATTTTGATCCCAGTAATCAGTAAGAAACCAATTCAAGAATTAACCAAATGCGTGGTTGCTAAGCATTGAATTCATCAAGTATTGTTGGCTTATTCCTATCCTTTAGCATGGGCATTGTTTAATGGATAATGTTGAGAAGCAGTCTTTATCTTCCACATGTCAACCATTAAAGGTGCTACAGCGTTTGTCATAAATGAAAGTGATTTTGATGCTATTTACCCGTGTCGAATTGTGCTTACAGATTTGTGATCACATCAATCTTTTATTCCCAAAAGATTTCATTCCTTGTTGCGGTGCTGAGTAAATAAACTACGATGGACTATTATTGCAGATTTTGTATTTCTGAAATAACTCCCAAGTGCACGATTTTCTCTTTTTGTAACCTTGTTACCTGAATTACACTACATTATTATTTGAATTATCAATCTATGGAAAAGAATGTGAATATACCTTATTCAGTTCACCGGGTTGTTTTGATTTCATTTTATTGTGTTTCTCATTTTGGTTGCAGAAATTTTATATGGTAGGGAGGGACAAAAATAGAACATATTGGAAAGTTTTGAAAATTGACAGATCAGAACCTTGTGAGCTTAACATTCGTGAAGATCCTACCAGGTATAGTGAAAGGGAGTGCTCTGATCTATTGAGAAGGATACACGAAGGAAACCAGGCTACGGGAGGACTTAAATTTGTCACAACATGTTATGGTATTGTTGGTATGTAGTCACTTGGTGTCGAATTTCCTTCACAAGAAATTGTGATCATCTCCGTCATCATATTCTGTACCTTTAACTTTGTTTGCCTTTTCCAGGATTCATCAAATTTTTAGGCCCTTATTACATGCTACTCATTACACAACGGAGGCAGATTGGCGTAATCTGTGGTCATACTATATATTCAGTCTCAAAGAGTGAGATATTTCCCGTGCCACATTCCGCTTTTAGCACCAGCATGGTTAATTATAAAAGCGAAAACAGGTTATGGCCTTTCTACACTTGCAATTTGCTTACTCTTCTGCCATTTGTAACTTTAGAGAAGAGGTTCAAAAATATTCCAACTTGTTATAATGACATATCTTGTTTTAGGAGTAAATTTCCAACAATGAGTTTATTTTTTATCAAGACAGAAGAAAAACTTACTCTTTCTGTAACTTTATTTAGGTATAAATGCAAGAGTGACCTTCAAGACTATTAAGTTGAAATTCACTGTGCTCGAGCACTACAGAGCTCCCAAATTTCCAACTGTATCTTCTCTTTGATTATTTGGTTCTTAAATTCAGCTGTTAAATTATACTTGAATCATTCTCGGTCACATATTCTACTTCGTAAAAAGAAATAAAACTGAAACTTAGTGTGATTATTAGTTCCTTCCTCTGAGCTATTTTTTGTTGCTAGTCAACCTTTAGTTGGACTTGAGTTGTGTAACGGTGTAGACTTATATATTCCTGTAAATATATTCTTATTACAGCTGGACATCTGTCTTTCTTGTAATTACTTGTGATTGGAAGCTTGTTTAAATCATTTGTGCTAGTACTGTATGTATTTTTTGCCCCCTAACAATAATATCGTTGCTTTATGTTACTAGTACAATATTTAGATTTATTAAGTAAAGCTAATTGTAAAGATGATGGTTTGGGCATCATATATTGTTCCTATTTTTTTCCCTAATGAGGTCTTGAGGAAGTTCTGGTTAGGTGTTAACAAATTATTGTTGGTTTCACAGATACAAGAAGCTCTTGTGTATGGTGGATCTTACTAAGGACTTCTACTTCAGTTACTCCTACAATGTTATGAGGAGTCTCCAGAAGAACATGTGTGATAAAAACCCGGGGCCGGTCTTGTATGAAACTATGTTTGTCTGGAATGAGTTTCTTACTCGTGGAATACGTAATATTCTTCAGAATACTCTGTGGACTGTGGCACTGGTCTATGGCTTTTTTAAGCAAGTGAGGCTCTGCTGTATTGAATGTATTTTATTACTTATCTGTTTTCTTGTATTTCACCAATAACGTTAACCTGTAAATCTTTGTATTTTGGCGAAGCTACACTGCATGTTCTTATGTCATTCATCTGGATGGTACCTGCAGCTTAAGAAGTTGATAAATTTGTTTTATACTTGATTTGTATCCAGGCTGCATTTTCTATATCTGGGCGGGATCTCCGACTAACTCTGATTGCAAGGCGTTCGCGGCACTATGCTGGTACCAGGTTAGATTACAATCTACAACTCGTATGACATTTTTTGAAGTTTTTGTTATGAATTTAATCCCAAATATTCTTTCCTTGAGACTACTATGTGTCGATATTACTTGATCATATGTTTGAGGCATTTTTCCATAGGGTTTAAATAATGACTGAACTACATGGCCAGCCTGTGTCCATTTAATAGGTTCTATGAGGAAATATCTGATATACTTGTCTTTTCTGAAAATCTTCTTGGTTTGCATATATTTTGTTGGTTTTTACTTGGTTTGAGTTACTTTCTGCTTGGATTTCAAGTTTTGTGTCGTCTTTATTAGATTAACCCTTGATCAACCTTCAAAACTTTCTTCACAATGGTTCAATACCTCAGTTTCATATTTGGCTCTACAACTTGTCAGCTCAGCACTGATCTTTGAATTTCATTTTCTTCTTGTAATGGATGTGGAAAACTCGAACTGTTTGGAAGTTGATATTAAGTAGAAAGACGCCCTACACTTGTCTTAGTGGTAGAGGGTGCAGTGGAGACAATGAATTTTATGCTGCTTCCTTTTGTTAAATTTACTGCTGGATAATGATAAAGTTATTGTTAATCCAATTACTCATATGTTATTTGCCTGTTTTAGTTTAGAATTATATGATTCATAGTATTCTGTTATGTAGATATCTTAAACGCGGTGTGAACGAGAAAGGCAGAGTGGCAAATGATGTGGAGACGGAGCAAATTGTAGTTGAGGATGGTCCTCAAGGAGTGCCAATGCAAATTAGTTCTGTGGTCCAAAACCGTGGCTCGATCCCACTCTTTTGGTCACAAGAAACTTCCCGCCTAAATCTTAAACCTGATATTATATGTATGTTTGGATAATTTTTTTGTTTATAAAATTTTACTTATTTTTTGCTGAAAATCTGAATACTCTTATTTGAATTGTGTGTCTTCCCTTTACATCTGTGTATTTACTTGCTGTACTTATTTCTTTTACGCCAGTGTCGAAGAGGGATGAAACATATGAGGCTACTAGACTTCATTTTGAGCATCTTGTCAAGAGATATGGAAATCCGATCATTATCTTGAATTTAATTAAGGTAGGATGAAGTTATAAATTTTGAATTGCAGTATTTTAGCTATCATGACTGATTGACGTGTTAAGCGTAAAGTAAATTATGAGACACAAACACCTAATATTCTTGTTATCCTAAAATGGCTCCCTAAGGAACACTAAGTTTATTGAAAGTTTCTCTGTACAGACAAATGAAAAGAAGCCTCGAGAATCCATTCTCCGAGCAGAATTTGCTAATGCTATTGAAGTCATTAATAAGAATCTGCCAGAGGAGAATCGGCTTAAATTTCTTCATTGGGATTTGCATAAACATTCCCGGAGGTACCAAATTGTTCATTCTTTGTAGTACTGCTGCTTATGCATGGCCTTTTGACCTAAGAGTAAAATTTACTCTTGTTTTCTATCAGCAAAGCTACAAATGTTTTGCTACTTTTGGGAAAGGTGGCTGCCTATGCTCTGACGCTGACGGGTTTCTTTTACTGTGAAGTAACACCTGCATTGTTATCGGAGGGACACCTCAAATGGCCTAGTTTTGAGTATGTTCCCCTCTCCACTTTAATCATGTCGTTTATTTTTCCCTTCTGCCATCCTGTTTTCTATTTTAAAATTTTATTTCCACTAGAGAATGGTAATGGTTATGATTGGATATTGTATAAAAATGTAATGATTAATTTTTATAAACATCCAATTGAACCCGAAGAACTCCTGTTTATGTTGTCCTGTGGTATTCAATCTTGCTGGTTATTCTTCTTATGGTTTTCTTCAATCCAATATTTGAACAAATCAATGGACTAGCGAACTGGTGTGAGACAATTTACAATTATTGAGACACTTTAGCCCAGATGACATTTGTTTTTCTCTGGTTGATGATTGGAAGGAATAGGTTGCAGCATGTAATTATTTTCATCAATATTAATCGAGTATAGTATGCTGAACGGAATTTTTTAAATGTTAATCTGACTCAGGAATGTCGTTACTCCTGATTCTTCGGCCACAACGTATCCCGAAATAGATATAGCGAAACATAACTTTGACGAGAATGAAGATTCTGACGACTTGGAAAAGAAGTCCAGTGGATGCAACAACAATTTGAATAATAATAATCTTTCGGTCAAACCGCCAACGGTGCAAAGGGGCGTGCTCCGAACAAACTGCATAGATTGTTTGGATCGAACAAATGTGGCTCAATATGCTTATGGCTGGGCTGCTTTAGGGCATCAACTTCGTGCCTTGGGAGTGACTACTTCGACAAAGTTAGACCTTGATGACCCACTGGCTGAGGACTTAATGGGTTTTTATGAGAGAATGGGTGATACTCTTGCACATCAATATGGGGGATCAGCTGCCCACAACAAGGTAATATGTTGTGTAATAATAGTTAGTTCAGATTAAGGGTGTTATTGGATATGGATTTGATTGGTTTTTTTGTTAACCATAGTTAATTTTTAAAAAGGTGGTATGGTTAGTCGTTAGTGGAAATTTAAGTTTAAATTAAAATAGTATTTAAAATAAAATAATTAAAGTTGATTTGATGTAATGCAGGAGAAAAATGATTGGAAGTGATGATTAGTTAAAATTATATGAGTGGATGAATATACATTAAAGTTGATGTGATGTGTAAGAATGATTGGTTGATAATATTTAATTATATTATAAAAAAATTCTACGGAGCCATCGGATGGTTTTCTTATGGAGCCATCCACCACTTAATGTATTGACACCTGTCCAAAGTGTATTTATTGCAGGACTCGTGCCAATACACTATTGGTGAATAAGTGTGGATGGCTCCATAAGCCGAGCCATCCGATGCCTCTATAGCAAAACTTTATATTGATAATATTTAGGATAGTGGGGTTGGGTTAAAGTTGAGTTAAATTTGAGTTTTCATTGGTTTTTTACTAGTCTAGTTTATATCCAATCACACCCTAAACTTCCCCACACCTTTATTTTGGTTCTGTTACAATATGCATGCAGCATTTTCATTTTGGTGGTGTTGAAATACAAATGTTCTATTTTCTTTCTAAGGGTCACAACAGGAAGAGAATTGTAAACTGTGTTTTGGGGAATTCGATAGTGTCCGTTTAATTTTTCTGTTTGAACATGTTTTATGCATCTGCTGACATTTTGGTACCTTAATGTCTCATTAGATTTTCTCGGAGAGAAGAGGGCAATGGAAAGCTGCGATACAGTCGCAGGAATTTTTCCGAACTCTACAGAGATATTACAGCAATGCTTATGTGGATGCAGAAAAGCAAAATGCAATTAATATGTAGGTTTGGTGTTTAACAATTTTGGATGTGCCTTTTTGAATTTCTCATGTGGAACGAGATTGAATAGGTTGAAGTTAAAATGAGAAGTCTGGTAGTATGAAATTCTTGATCCATCTTACGTTTGTCTGGCAGGAAACTTGATTTATGTACTTGTCCAAAATATTGTGTCAGCTACTAGGCAGACTATGAATTCTAATTAGATAATGTGTCGACATAACATTAATTAATCTTGTTTGTGTTTGATCAGATTTTTGGGGCATTTTCAGCCACAACCAGGCAAACCTGATTTGTGGGAGCTTGATTCTGATCAGCTTAATCTGCGAAGGAATGAATACCCAGATATCGATGACAATGGAAGGTATATATACGTACATTCGATTGATGCTTGTTATATATTTGTGTTAATGCTGATGGTACCTGAATTTTCCTTGCATGTTAATGGCAGACAAAAAAATTTTTATTCAATAAATTGGTGAAAATTTCTGGAGAAGTTATAGGTAGTCTCTACCAGATGGGATGGAAATCATCCCTTAGTTCTCTAGAAAATATTAAGTTCTCATGGATTAAGTGCTCGTTTTACCAGCACATGACAGTGCATAAATTAAAGAAAAAAAAAATCCTGTTGTCCCAGCCCCGAGCCATGGCAATTTCCATCACTTGAAATCTGTCTCAACTATTATATTGTAATCGCTTAAGGTGTCGTATTCTCCATCTTTACTCGGATGCTTGCTTTCTTCTATACTTCTAAGAGATTGACACCTGTTCATCAGAACAAGATTTATATAACATATTAGAAGCCTACTTTGCTTAGTGTTCTTGTTGTGACTATTGGGGTTATATTGCCTTACGTAGTGAGTATTATTCTATGTAACCTTATGCAGTGTGCTGCCAGAACTTTACATTACACTACTTTTCTGCATGTATAGGTCATGGGTTAAAAGATCATGGTCAGACGGTCACATTCTTCGTGAACAATGTTCTCCCACATCTTCCTCAAACTTCAATAGTGGAAGTACTAAAATGCTTTCTGAGTCGGCACCAGATATGTCGACTTCTGAAGCACATTTAGCATATTTAAGGTACTTCACATTCCTAAAATAAAGAATGATTTAGTAGTTGGTGAGATTTTGATAACTAGGGTAGATGAGCTTTGAGTGTGAACTCTCAACTAGAGTATTGATTTTTTTGCCACTTATTTGGTAGAAAAATTGGGCTTTTTTCCCATCACTTCACCGATTTATATATGGATCTATTCACTTTTTTTTTTTGTTTTGCAGATGTAATCCGCCTGCTAGAGAGATTTTTTCGGAAATGCGAAGAGATAGATACATTGAACATGATAATTGGAACGCTATTGATTGCTCCAACTTTGTTGACGTAGATTGGCTCTCCTCCTCCGGAAATTCATTTGAAGAAGAGTTGTTGGAGAGGTAGTTCTTCTACTTTGTTGATTGAATATTTTGTTCAAACTTTATACCATTGTTAATTGAAATGGGTTTAATTATATGATGAAGCTGAATATTCTCTCGATTTATGCTCAGGTCGATGCATATGTCATCAGAAAATGTACTGATTGGGGAGCGAACCCCATCTACCAGTGAATGTGAACCGAGCACGAGGGTTAGTATCTTTTTTCCGCATTCTTTTGTTAAGTTCCAACAAATCTAAAATAAATAAAGTGTGTAAAGGAAAAAAAAAAAAAAAAAAAAAAAAAAAAAAAAAACTTTCTTAGAGTGAACATGTTTGTCATTTTTTCATTAATTCTTCAACGTTTGAAGGGAAAGGAGCAAACTAGAACCGAGTTGTGTTACGATGAAGCTCGTGACTCGGAAGTTTTTGGCGAATTTCCAGATAGTTTTGTGCGTTGGGTGACAAATGGAGAAACACTGTGTCACTGAGAAGAGTTTAGTTCTGCAATGATATGTAGAAATCAGGCAGAGTGAAGGAGAAAACCATTATGTGGAAAAATGCAGCATTATGCGTTTATTTCAATACATGGAATCATGGAAACCTCGGCAGGGATCGCCCGTGTTTTTTTTGTCTGTTATTTTTTTTTCAGGTAGTATGAAAGAGTAAATAGCCCACATTTAAAAATTTCTGTTTCTATATGTTAATCTTTAATGAAAATTCTGTGAATTCTATGTTGTACATATGAAATGTTCTTGGGGAACTTCACCTCATGTAATAAATAGGCTCATCGATTATTTTACATTGATTTTGTCATCAACGGGATTTTGTTTGTTTACAAATTTTCTCTTCCATTGCGTATATTTTCTAATTTATTAGAAATTACTGACTTTGTTTATTTTAAAAGAACGGGAGACTAAAATTAGGATTGTAATATAACTGATTTTTTAAATTATATTTGTAATTTGAATTTGGTTTTCATAATTTGTATTTGTGAATTTCGAATAGTACTTGTATTCGAAATATATACAGTAATTTGATTATGCACATATGAATCAATTTAAAATTATCGAATATTAAAGTGTACTTAACAATGATTAGTAAAATCAATAATCATAATACAGATCCTACCCAGTCCCAGAGCATCGCTCATGACATAATGCAAAACTCCAAAAACTGCATTTTCTCAATAATCATAAGTTATACGTTGAAAAAACGAAAAGTACTCCAGCAAATAACACGATTCCGCCAATAGAATAATCATTTTTTCCTTCCATTGATCTTCAAACACCACTGTTCAAGTCATGGGAGATGGTCCTGCTGTAGCTTCCGTGTCGTCATAGTCACAACATTCACGAATCAGAGCTGAATGGTTAAACTATCAAATCTAACCTCAAGGTTTAGTCTAATTACAAGAAAGCATCCACTTGCTGTCTCTCAAAAATTTCAAAATAATAATGCCTTGAGGTTTTGCACGCCCTTTATAATGAAGCTCACACTTTTGTAAGAATAATAAATATAATGAAAGGATCGTTTCTCTTTTTAATTTTATTTTATCATTGATCATGCATAGCATACTGCAATGAAATTTATCGACAAAGCAAGCAAGTGGAAATCTCTATGGAGTTCTTATCTGACAAACTAGAAGCTGCTTCTGGTACTGTAGCTTTGCAACACGTTCCTTTGGTCAATGGGCCTTGAACCGGGCCCTTGGTTTATATTAATTCAGAACGTGCTGAGCCTGAGTGGCAGGTTCGCATACTTTGAGATCCTATGTGGCAAAATTACATGCTTTGTTATTAGGCTTGGGTAGATTTTAATTTACTTCCAATCCAAAAATAATTAGGTCCAGATTATCCATAAATATGTTGATTATTTATGGTCATGTTACATGTATTAATTGCATTTTAATATCATTTCTTATTATAGCCATTGAATTGTAAATGTATTTTAAAAGTTAATAACTTTTGTATTTTTTATTAGTTTTACATATATAATATATAAAATTAATCATCTTTTGATGAGCTTCAATTTAACATTCATATTGTATGTATAAAAGAAATAAATTATATTTATTTTTATAACAATAATAAAATTATTTTTTAATATTAATTAGAAAAATAAAATTATTCATTAATTAATATATTTATATTTCAAGTAGTTATATGATATAAGTAAATATATTATAAAGTCTCATTCCAAAATATATAATAATATATATTTTTGTAAAAAAATAAGTTAAATTTAAATTAATTTTTTTCATTAATTATAAAATTTAAAATTAATTTTTTACCTAGCACCCATGTAATATACGAGTATTATACTAGTTACGTTAATGCCAAAACCAAATCCACACAAAATTAATACAAAACCTGAAAATATTTTACGAATAAATTATTAAATTAATATAAAAATTGATATTATATACGAACACTCCAAACTTTAAGCGAATCTACTTATCATACTAAGTAAATAAAAATAAATACTTATACTATTAAATGTCAAATTGCACCTGAGTACATCACGACCGACTAATGCCAACTTGTCCGGCCATTTAAGCCAACATGGCATTGACGTAGAGCACGTGTCTCAGGCCAAATAAACACATCAGCTGAAACGACGTCGTTTTGTCTTATAAAATAGTAAATCAACAAATCAATCCTAAATTAAATTAAAATCCCTAATCTTCAATCGACCAAAAATCATTTCAAATCGACAGCTCAAAACTCTCTCTCTGCAAATCCAAAATCCATCGAAGAACCCTAGAAATTCTTCTCTGTAAATCCAAAAGCCAATTCTTTGTGAATCCAAAAGCCATAGGTTCCCTTTGTTGAAACAAAATTCTGAAGTACCCAAGAAATTGTTGGAACTGATGACGGACAGGTATGAAACACGATCTCCTCTCTTCTTCTTTTGTTTTGGTTTTCCTGAATATAAGTGCATTATGTATTGTTGTTATGATCGATAGATTAGGGTGCATGTAGGTGTATTGTTGTTATGCAAATTCTGCAACAACGGTTTGTAAATAAAATATATATCTTTAGTTGCTTTGCAAATAATTATACATGGCTTGTAATAATGTAATAAAATTGATAATGTAGAGTGCATCAGCTAATTTCCTTTTTCGGTTATGTGTAATTCACTTGAAATGGAACCAAAATAGTGGTCCCACGTGAAGGCAATTTATCTCTCTTATTACGTTCTCCCTTGCTCTCTCTCCTGAGTCTCTTCCTCCATTGTTTCTCTCATATCCATCCATAACAGAAAATCCATAAAAAATCAGAAAAATTCACAAAAAAATCATATAACGAAAAAGAGAGTTCATTGCACAAGCTCATCACATATCACATATATATACACAAACATCATATCCCTCTACAAATGCAAGAGGTTAGATATCAGGTTCCAACCCATCCACGACTTCTTGTCTGTAAGAGGCGCGAAATTTAGCGCAAACATTTCCCTCGACAAGGGCTGTGAAGACGACTCACAAAACCCGACAAGCTTAGCCACGACTTGCGCACTTTCCTTGACGTGCTGCATGTCCAAAGGGTTCGTCCACAGCTTGTTCACCAGCTGCAGTCTCCTCTTCTGCTTTCCCTCTAATGAGATCTCCCACTTCATGTACAGCATTTCTCTCTCCTCCGCTGTCAGCTTCGAGCTCACCCTCTTTGCTAGGTACTCTCTCTCCTCCTTCAGAGCCTTGATGCTGAATCCACAGAGAAAAAGGAACAAATGTGAAAAAAAAAACTTACTACTTGCACACATGTTCTATTTGGTGGAGAGGTTCGAAATCGATTGAAGGGTAGTTCATTTACAAAACAATCCGAAACTTTTGGATTTAAAAGTATCTTTTTTAAATTTGGTGTTTGCTACATAGCAGTTTTGAACCTGACCAATCAGAATTTGGCACATTTCAGTCAAATATTGGTCGAGCTCAGCTCATAGAATGCCAAAGTTCAATTTTTTCAAAGCTAGGCATGCAAAAGTGCAACTCTATAGTTAGCCATGCAAAAAATGTAATTACCCCTTCAAATATATATATATACCATTTGAAAATACGTACCTGGAAGTTACGGAGCCAGGAGGGTCATCACCCAAAAGCGCAGGACTTGCATTCCCCACCTCATCCAGATTCTGCTCCAACCATTTCAGTCTTCTAAGCTCAACCTCCATATATATCTGGTCTGAAGGGTCTCCCCTGAATAGCAAGTAAAACTGGGTACGGTGCACGATTGACACGTGGCAAACGTGCCAAAGCATTATAATTTCCTTTCTCTGATCTTCAAACACCACAGTCCACGTCATGGGAGATGGTCCTGCAGTAGCTTCCGTGTCTTCATCAGTGGTGGCCTCGTTGGCCTCCTCCAATTCTAACACCTAGATAGGATATTTCACAAGACTCACAAATCAGAGATGAACAAACATTTCACAGGTTTAAACTATAAAATCTACCCTCAAGGTTTAGTCTAATTACAAAAAAGGCATCCACTTGTCGTCTCTCAAAAATTACAAAATATTACCTTGAGGTTTTGCATAATATAATGAAGGTTCTTTTTTTATTTTAATTTTATTTTATCATAAATCATGCATACCATATATTGCAGTGAAAATTTATTGACGAAGCAAGCAAGTGGAAATATCGATGGAATTCTTACCTGACAAACTAGAAGCTGCTTCTGGTACTGTAGCTTCGCAACACGTTCCTTCAGCTGGCTAACGTAAGCCTTAATGCTCTGAATGTTATCCTCGGCCGCCTTCTTAAACATCTTCTGCACTTTCTTCACATCGATTGAGCTCGTTTCCTTTCTTCCAGAAGCATTCTCTTCTCCACTATTAGGCGTCCCCTTTGGGGCTCGATTCTCGATCTCGTGAGAAGACAACGAAGTCGTGGAGCAGGGTGAACGTATCAAATTCGGCATGTTAGCTGTGTTGCTCAATGCGAACGGGAGCATTTTCTTCTTCTTAGACGAGTTTTTCACATCAGGTGTGGACATATCCTTGCTGCTTGGAAAATGCATGACTAATTCCTCGATCGATTTCTGGACGTTCTCAAGCTTCTCTTCCAAAACCGAGATGTTACCCTCATGCGAGTTCAACCGAGCAATTTCGTCTCTCAAGGAGGAATTTTGATCTCTTTTCACCTGAATTTCTTCCGAACTGAAACTCGCAGTGTGTATTGATTTGATTTCGGACAGCATTTTCGCGATTGCCTCGGCTGAGCCCTGGCTTCCGAGCCTTTGGGCAGATATTTCTTTATGGAGTAGCTCTAAGGCTCGGTTGGCTTCCTCGCCTAGCTGTCTTTGCCTCATTTCCAGTTTTCTTATCTCCGTGACTAACGTGCTGGAAGAGGCAGATGCTTTCTTCCCGCGCTTTCGTGGTTTTGGCTTTGGGTCGCATTTTTCGGGAAGCTGATCATCATTCACTGTGTTGAATGAGAGGCGTTTCACGGCTTGGGAAGAAGGGCCACCGTGGTCTGAAGCCTGAAACACCAAATATTTTGATGAAAATTACTGAAACTACCCCTGAAGTTTAGTCTGATTAACCAAAAATAAAATGGAAAATGTAAACATTTTGCAAAATTACAGGTTAACACCCTTCACCTTCATGTATGCTAATACTCACTTGGTTTAAATAAACTAGGCCTGGGACCGGTCCGGTTTTTAATGAATTTTTCAAGAACCGGAACCGGAACCGAACCGAAATAACCGGTTCGGTTATTACACATATATTCATAGGAACCGAAAAAAAAACCGAACCGTGTTATACCGGTTCGGTTTTTCCGGTTCTTTGGGTAACCGACTTATGAAAAAAAAAACCCGTAATAACCGGTTTTGAGTTAATAACCGACCAAAAAATTGCAACTTATGTGCTAAATGTATCATGAAAAACCGAGAACCGAAATGAAAAATGAGGAACCGATAATATACACTAAGAACCGGAACCGAATTATATGTGTAAACATATAAAAAATGTATATTTCATGTATATAGTCGGATTTTCGGTTAATACACAAACATTTGGAAAGGAACCGAGAACCGGAACCGGTATGTGCAAAAAATAACCAGAACCGAAAAAAAAGTTTTTTTTTAAATAACCGAACCGAACCGGTTATTTTCGGTTCGGTCCGATTCGGTTCTCCGGTTCTCGGGTATAAAATCCCACCCCTAAAATAAACGATCCCCAATTGGCAATGTAGTTTGCAATGCAGTAACAGATACTAAAAGGGTAAATGTATTTTTTGATAAATAGGTGGTTGTTTATTACTATTATTACTACAATTGATGTTGTTTTTGTTGTGTGTGATTTAGACTGAAACTCAAGGGTGGGATTATAATTAGGAACATACCTTTTGTTCTTTGCGTGAGCTTCGTTCTAACACAAGCTGAGATTGTGCAAGGTCTCTTTCGCGCTTCAACTCATTTATCTCTCTCTCTAACTGCATTTGAAAAGCTGATATCAGAACTGTAATAATAAGCTACTTCTGAACGACATGAGCTACCTTGACTGATTCCTTCAAAACTTTGTTTATTTCCTTAAAGGAACTAATAATACAATGGGCAACAAACGAAGAGCACACCAAATAACACTTGGAAAAAGAAGTGCACACTGTAAAAACAGCTGCACAAACGATAACAAATAATATAGTTCCTCCTTGAAATCACCTCCAATAACTTCTGATTTGAGCTCCAGTCTCCACATAGCTTTCTCACAAAAATGTTGCCAACATCTTATCAATAACTTAAGTGCCTCCAATAAATCAAACACAACATGGACATTACAGGATACAATCCATATCTTGGCATTACATTCTTGTCAGGCTTAAGCACTATATTTTTACGTGACTCTCCGGTGAATCTAATTTGAGTTTCTACGAGAAAAGGAGAAAAGCAAAATCACAATTCTATGGATGCCTGGAATCTAATTTGAGTTTCTACGAGAAAAGGAGAAAAGCAAAATAACACTTCTATGGATGCCTGGAATAATTTAATTCATTTGGTTTATAGTTAATTATCGTTCATCAAAGCATGAAAGAAAGGAAATTTTGAAAGTTGACTCAAGAGAAGATTCTGACTGTATTGGATACCAGGAAAGTGAGTATTTAATGTGCTATCACTCTCAGGTATCTCTATGTTAATAGATATTTTTCTTTATTCCTCATTGACCTAATTTTAGGTGAAATCTGTCTTGCAGAAAAAACTTGTAGTACCTGCTGAATTTTCGAATCTTTTTCCTTCAGCAAAGATCTTAAACATGAAGATGCAGATGATGGCTCGGGGCTTCTGAGCTCAGCTTCCAGCCTAGCAACTTCATCTTGCAATTGCTTCACTAATTGCTTCTTTTCAACAATCTACATTTGAAAACGATTTACAGTTCGGACAACATTTATATCCTAGATGATGCAGGATTAAATGATAAATAATTGAAAAGAATCCCATTCGCCAAATGCAAGGGCACATTTTAAATATGCCAACAACGTCTACATTATAACATTGTACATCTTATAAGTCCCCTTAAATCTGTTGAACAGGAAAAACGTGTCTTGAATAAATCATAATGGTCCTTATTCATGTCGTGTCTCTATCGAGACGAACAAAATCAAAAGTGAATCCAGAAATATGCTAATTTATAATGTTCAGATTAAGGAAAGGTTCCAATATAGTATCAACTAAAATGAAATATGTTATGCACTTTAGATACAATGAGCAGATTTTCGTCAATACCATGTTAACTTTAGCACTGTTTGTAACTTCCTTTGCACTCATTGCAAATAGAAGCGTGTTTCGTGATTGATCCACATGGCTCAAAGCAGGACTCATAGTGCAAATAATTGCAGTCCGTGCATTCCCACCAAGTGATGTCTGCAATATCCTCGTGAGTTTTGAATCTCTATAAGGAATGTGGCCACTTCTCTTTCCACCACTGTGATAAAAGATGAATCAATTAGACGTTTATGTTTACAAATGGTGCAGTTTCATTTAATTTCCTACTCAATTTCAGTAATGTAGCTAGTGTTATCCACACCTTAGCTTTCTGATTACAGTTGTCAGTGTCAGTAAGCTTCTGTTGATATGGCTCCCTTCTTTCAACCTTGTACCATCTGCATTTGATTGACTGGCACGTTCACTTCCAGCAAGATCTACAAGATTCTGTAATATCCCACAGTTTTAGTGTTATATGGTTTTATGGTGTTTAACAGAGGAAAGATCGAAAGTAATAAAAACATGTACGCACCAGACTTGCTAAAAATGATTTCACACACCCCGAATCTTCTCGAAGACTGCTTTCAATAGTCTGCAAATTGAAAGAAGAAAAAAGGATGATAATCAAAATTGGTTTGTAAAAATGACAGTGACAAAAGAATAATACCACAACTGCAGGTGCAAGGTTTTAAGTACCTCAAGAGTATTGACCAACGTAATCAACAATTCAAAATGTTCAAAGAAAATTCAAAAAAAGTTCCATCTAAAAGCATGATAATGACATAATATGGCTTCTTTCAATTATTGTTCCTACTTTCTTACTGTTTCGAATTAATTGCTTCTCTATTCAGATACAGTTAGGTAAGGAATCTCTTCATTTAGTGTTTTACTTACAGTTAGAGCATTATAACCAATCTAAAGGAGTAGACATTTTGGTGAGAAGGGTGAATTTTCTCCTTTCTTTCAATGTCCTTATAATATATATGGTTAAAATTCCAACTTATAGAGAGAAGTATTTATGGATAAACAATTACAGTCAACAGTCAATTTACAAGACAAATACTAATTTTGATGGACAAAGAAACTCACTCACTTGACGAGAGATTTAGACTCATTCCACGAGTGGAAAATCACTAAACGAGTTCACGGATCTTTAGAAATAAAGGGTCCGTAAATGTGGAAATAAAAACAGACCATGCCACTGGCAACTGATGTAATCAACCCAGATAATGCACATCATATTACAGATTTCTGGCTCATATTATTTAAAAAGGTTCAGCCAAAAAATAGATAAATAAAAAAAATAATGCAAAAGGTATCTTGGAAGCAAGTGAAAAACCTACCAGCCTAATTATCTGATGCGACCTTGAGCTTGTGTCATTCAGGGCAGTTTCACCCACCTGCCTTTGTGCTGCAACCACACGAATTGGTAAAACATTAGAATTATGATGTAACGGTGGAATAAGTTTATTCTCTAAAACAGGCAATAAACATTTTTAGCCTCAGTTTTACCTTCACAAATACTTATAAGGTGCCTCAAATGTTGACCATCCTTGACAACCTCTTCGATCAACTTATCCACAATGGTTCCTCTCTGCACACATTCAGACACAATTTTAAGAAGAACAAATCTAGGGACAAATCTGAATACCAAAAACTTAATGTCATTACCTCGGGATCATCCAACAGGCGAAGGCAGCCAGACTCTCTATTTAATAGATCTACAACATTTTCATTATAAATCTCCAAAGCAGAAAATTTGAGCGAAAATTCTCTCTCTGGTGTCTGTCAGAAAACAAAATTAGCTTTTAGAAAAATTTAAACCAAGTCTACTAGAATGCACACACAGCACGAAATGGTCTCGGGTTTTTTCTGATATCAAAATGTCTTACAATGTTGATGTGCTCATATATGTCTTTTATAGCGTGTTCTGCCACACCTCTCATAGTGAATGTCTTTCCACTACTAGTCTGCCCATATGCAAAGATTGTCGCTGTAGACAAAAATACAATTAGAATAGAAAAGAATAAGGCAATCAAACATGAAAAACATATTACTAACACTGTTTTCCGACAACATTTACCATTAATTCCACTAATAGCAGACATGGCAACATCTCTAGCCCCTTCTTCATAAACTTTTCGTGTCGAGCAAGTTGGATCAAACACCTTATCTGGGAGATGCAATTTAGACAGATAACTGTTTAGATTTACAAGTAAGAAGTAAAAAAATGCAAATTATATTACATACCGAATGTATACAGCCCTCCATGCCGATCATGATGTAAATTCTTCGAAACAATGGTATTTTCATCCACGATGTCCCACGCAACAAGGTCATAAGCAGCTATTTCTTTTGCATTTAGCGGTCTCACGCGTACAGTCACCAAAATGTTCTCCTCGCGGACTTTTGGGCCGCCTGGAGTACAAGCTGGCGTCCTTCTGATCTTCGATGACGGTGTCATTGGCGTCCCAATTGTCATCTTCAGGTAACAAATATCTTCCGGCCCATATATAAAAAACGGAAAGCAAAATTATTACGAAACTGTCGTAAGTGCAAGATCGACAAGACCAAGAAGATCCCATAAGCCAAGATTGTAACTTCATCACCAAAACCACAGAAAACAGTTACAGAAAACCATCAAACGTAATCCAAATTAGAATATTTCACAAAGATTTACACGCCTCATTGTGAAAGATTTGTGCTCATAAA